GTATGTACCTGGGCTAGAAGTGATGTTGGCCAAAGCTAGGATGGCTGAATCCAGTGCCACTCAGAGCATGGTACACCAATTTTTTGCCATAGTTTTGAGAGGAAGAAGGGGCAAGAGAAAGAGGAAAAGAGGGTGAGAGAGAGAGTGTTGAGGTACCCGCGTATCCCCTGCCTATGTCTTGTGTACCCCTGGGGTAAATGTACCACAGGTTGTGAAACTATGCTTTAGGGAACCCCACCAGCTAGATGCCATGGTTCTCTGGCTTGGATTTGGCCTGTGGGCCTGGGGTTGAGCACCCTGATCTAGTCTTAACTTCTGTATAACAGAGCATGCCCTCAACCTACTTCTCTGTGCACAGGGCTTTCAGGGGGTTAGGATTATGATTTGCCTGATACCAGTCTTAAAAAGAGAAGGTAAGTTAGCTAATAGTGTGGCAGCTGTTAGGTTGGAATTCTGAAGCATGTAAATGGATTTCTTCCATCAGTTTTTATTCTTTTGAAAGTCTAGCAAAGAGAGACTTGGATAGGGGAGGCAGGGGAATTTGGAAGAAATAGTACAGAGTAGACAGGGTGTACAAGGGAACCCAATATTTTCAGGATCCTGGAAGCTGGCTCTGAGCTTTTTTTTTGTACCCAGTAGCAGTACTTATCCAACTCATTCTTCTCATCAAATGAACGAAGAAACAAAATAAGAGGCATGCTATTGTAACTGCCACTGCTACATGAAGAAATGGCTGCCAGTAAATAGGGGTTGGCAGATCAAAGATGTTTTGCCTGCTGCATAGGAGAAATTTGAGTCTCCTGTGTACAGAATCTCTGGGGTGGCTCACAGCTTGCCTTCTGCATTCTAGAGTGCCAGCACTTGGGCCCCTGCTGTTACCTTTCTGGGCCTTGAAAAGATGGAAACTAAGTAAGTGATTTATTTACCTGCTGCAGTTTCTCAGTCTAGTAGCTGCAGGGCTTTCTGTTGGGTTATGCTTGTGTTTTATTGGTCACAGCACCGACAGAGAGTAGGGGTACACTAATAAAGATTTTTTTGGCCAATTAACCAGCCATATCTGCAGATGCTGATCTGATGCCTGATATGCAGCATGGCAGCTTGGAGAACAGTGTTGGGCCAGTAGGTTTGGTGGGGTGGGTGCATTTTGAAGTCCCCATGGTGAGGGAAAGAGTGGGGCTGTGGCAGGGGCAAGTGCTGCCCAGCTGGGGCAGGGCAGGGTGCGGGACAGCTGCGGGTGACTCATCTGGGTGGGGTAAGGGAGCAGCTCCTGCCACTGTGCGCACCCCGGGGGAGGTATGGGGGCATATACCGTGCCCCCCCACCCCCGACTTGTGCATGCAGCGAGGGCAGGCTGTCTGCTGTGGGCTCAGGGCCAGGGCCTGTGCCAGGGCAGGTGGTGGTAGCACTGGGAGGGGACGCTACACAGTGGGCTACATCCACCCCAAAATTCACTATAGCCCCCACTTAGCCGCCCTTCCCAGTGCTACCAAATGCCCCACCCCTGCCTGCCTCAAGTGCAGCCCTGGTCCAGCACCACTGCCGGGAAGAGGCCAGCACAGCCCCCGAGCCCGCAGCAGCCATCCTGCCCTCAGTCACTTCCAGATTGTCTCTAACACCTTTCCTTTCTGTTTGAGAAGGTAGTGCCCAATTTATTTTTTTTTATTGGTGCTTGGCCTCTAGACATTTTGAGCAGAAAATACCCAGTACACCAGTGTACAGAATGCAGCTTAATTTGCTTTGATGGTTGTGAAAAAAGAGACGTGGACTGAGTTCTAGCCTGCAGTTCTTGCAGGAAGCACTGTGGGGCTGAGTGAGCACACTTTGCTAAATACTTCCTGTACATAGTTTCGTAAGTGACATACATATATGCCCTTTTCATCCCAGAGGCAGATGACAGTCTTGGCCTGCCAAGTGCTTAGGCAAGTTGTGGCAGGCAGCGGGGAGGCTGCAAGTGTCCATAGAGCTGCACCAGGGTCCATAGAGCTCTGGCCTGGCTTATTGCTGGTGGCAGGTACACACAGGCCATGGGACACATGGTGGGGAAGGGGCCAGGACTGCACTCAACAACAGGGATCAGGCCCCTCACAGCTCCCCCACTGTCTGCCCCAGCACGCCAACATCTTACAAGTTGAGGTTGCAGATATTTTTGGCACTCTGTCCAAAAACGTTGCTGACCCCTGAGCTAAAATATTATTGCCCCTTGTGAATCCACACCAGGGCTGGCTTCCAGGGGGTCCTTCAGGAGAGGTAGACCAAATAAGACTGCTTCTTGGGGAATTCCGAAATAGCACTTCCCCTGCAAGGAGCGTGATCCATGACAGTGGTATCCAAACAAATTCCACACACCAGCCCTCCTTTACACTGGGGGATGGGGGAGGAAGGAGGGGTGCTAGTTGGGAGTGAGGGGCACCAGCAGGTTTGAGGGATCTCTTGCTTGAGAGTGAGGGGCATGGGCAGGGACCGGGCACTGGCATATCAGGGTTGCTAAGCACCACAAAGCAGTGGGGAGGTCAGGGGAGGGGAGACAGCTGCAGCAGGGGTTGGGATGGGGGCACAGCCACAGCTGGACCCGCATCCTGGTGAGCAAAGGGGGCAGGGGGAGCTCTGATTTTTCATGATATAAAAACCAAAATCAAATGCCAAGGTATATAGGTATTTAGAATTTATTGTATTATGATGATTGAGGCACTGGTAGGCTTCCAAATGGCTTTAAAATTGTAAAGTGATACCTGTATACATATACGTACAGTAAAATCTGTGTTTTCTGGCATGAGTGGGGAATGGGGGGCACCAGTTATCTAAAAATTCCGGTTATCTGAGAGTTGTAATCAAAGAAGACAATGCCATGCTTACAATGCAAATTTAAAAAAAAAATAAATGTACAATACATTACAGTATAACATGCTGTATAAAAAATAAAATAGCATACAAATAAAAAATGTCATAGTAGTCAGCCACCCCAAATTCCAGGGCAGCCCAGCCACAGGCTGCTGCAGCAGGAGGGAGGGGCACGCACATTCGGATTCCCTGCACAGGTACCCTCAGAGCGGTGTAGCAGGCAGCAATGCTGTGTGCGTCCTGCCACTGAAATTGTGGTTAATTAAGTATTCTAGTTAGTTAAATGCCGGATAACAGAGATTTTACTGTATCCTGTGTGTATATGTATGTATGTATATGTAGATACATAGTGGCATTTCATTTTAATTGAGGAAAAATATGGATTTGGGGGGTTTTAAAGCAGAGAATTTGGCTTTTTTTAACACAGAGAATTTGGGGGTTTTAAACAGAGAAAACCAGGATCCCTGCTATGAAGCATATGCAGTGGAATAAAAACCAGGTTATTCCTACCTGTGGTGAATAGGATGCACAACTGAGGCAATTCTTTTCTTTTGGTATAACCAGTGATCTGTTGTCATAATTATGTGGAAACATGATAATAAATTGGGCATTTTACTTAGGCTGTAATTATCAACTGATTCTTGTTATGAATTATGAGGAAATATTCAAAATTAGACCTCCTACTGAGGATAATGCAGAAAAACTCAGAGCAGTGCAATTCTGGCCATTGCTGTACATTACTCTTTCTAACACTTCTACTGGTTGTTTCATTTTTCTATTACCTCCCATCCTGTGATGCTGGTTCCTATGGTTTGGAGTTCATATACACTCCCCACCTCGCATGTTATTACCAAACATGGCATCTAGCTAAATAACTGTCCTAGTTAGTATTTTGTCCATTACTATCAATTTCAGTTCCAAAGCAACATTTATTAGTAATGAAAATAGAATTTAAGCCATGGATTTTTCAAAAGCATGCATCTGCTTTAGTAGCATAAATTCCATTGAAAAATCATAGTGGAGATTTGTTTTTTGAAAGCTCACCTAGGATGTGTCACACTTTATTATTTTTTTTATATTTATAATGAAGGCTGTCCACTGACTCACGGGCTGCATCTATACATGCACTTTACTGCAGAGGAGTAAAGTGTCACCATCTGCAATGGAATTAGGCCTCAGTAAACTAATTTACACCAGTGTAAAATAGTACTGTCAGGAACAGTACTGTCATACACCAGAGTAATTTACTGCAATTTAAATGCATGTGTAGATGCTGACCGTGGGCATAAATTGTGCCCAGACAGCCCAGCCAACTGGGGGCCAGACTCCTGCCTGCCATCTAGCCCCTCAGCTCTGTACTCTTAGCACCCTTGTACCCTAGTCAGCCCTTCCACCACCCGATGCTGCCACCCAGAGCTTGAGGCTGATTCCACCCTCCCCCCCCCAATTGCTCCACCCTGGCTCAAATCACTGCTGGCCTGGGTGCAAGTATAGACACTGCATGCAGGAGTCATTTATTCCAGTATTTAGCGCTTCACATTAATTGCACGTGTAGGCGCACCCAGGATCTCCAACATCACTCCTGCTGTAGAAGAAAAATATAAACCAGTTCTGATAATCTGACACCAGTGATCTGGGACAAAATCATAAATGTGAAATCTCCCTTGGAAATTGTAGGCCTTAGAACTTCCTGTAAATGGAGGGCACAGAAATCACTGTGACTGTAGGTTTGGGCCTTAAACTGTAGCATCACAGGAACTTCAGACTGTATAAAGAGCATTTGTTTTGGCTACTGTTATCTCAGCCGCTTTTCATACAATATTTAAGGGCTTGAAAACAAAAGGATTCCACAAAAGCTTCTAGACTCATTTAAGTTCTATGACAGCATCTGTGTAAATTTTGGAAGACAAGGGATGTCTCAAAGAGTGAAGAAAGGTGCTGTGTTCTCCTGTCTTTAAAAAGGAGGGAAAAGAAATACCTAGAAATTATAAACCAGTTAGCCTAATTTCAGTCACCAGAAAGATTCTGGAAGACATGATTAAAGAATCGGTTTGTAAGTGTCTAAAGATAATGAAGTAATTTTTTTTACAAAAATTCAGTATAGCTTGTCAAGTACCCTGTCAAAGAAGAATATGAGATTACCTGATGGATAAGAGGAAGAAGTAGGTGTGGTATATCTTGACTTCAGAAAGCCTTTCAACACTGTCCCATAAGACATTTTGACAAGCAAGCTACGGAAGTACAATCTAGATCTAATTGCCATCAGATGTATACATATTTAGTAGGAAAAAATACTTCTTGAAGTTCCCCTGCCTGTCAAATTTGGAAGGTATTTCAACTGGTGTCTGTCTGGGATGTGCCCTGGTCCCAGTTTTAATCAATATTTTAATTAACAGCTTGGAGGATGGCAAAACTTGGGTAACATTTGCAGATGACAATAAAATTATTTTCAGGGGTTGTCAGGGTAAGAGCAGTTGCAAATACTTCAAAGGACTAGATCAGAATTCAGAGTAATCTTGACAAATTGGAGTGTGTCAGAAATAACAAGATGAAATTCAGTAAAGGCAAGTACAAAATGCTCCATCTGGAAGAATAAGTCAAATGCATAAATACAGATGTGGAATATCTAGCTGAGTAGCAGTATAGCAGAAAAGAAACTGAAGATTACAGTGGACCACAAACTAAAATGAATCAACAATTTGTGGCTGTTGCAAAAACATCAAATCTTATTCTGGGATGTGCCATGAGACACAGGAGGTAATTATTCCTCTCTGCTTGATGCTGCTGAAGTTCCAGATGGAAGATTGCATCCCGTTTTGGTCTCAACACATTTAAGAAAGAAGTAGACCAACTGGAAAGAGTTCAGAGCAACCTGAATGATTAGAACTTTAGAAAACGTGTCTTGTACGATAAGTTTGAAGACCTGGGTTTTCTTTGAGAAAAGAGAAGACTGATGGGACAACACAAAGACTTGTTATAAGGAAGACAGACAGTGTATTTTCCATGGCTCCTAGGAAAAAACTGGAAGAAATCTTTTGACTTTACAGCAAAGATGACATATGTTAGATATGGGCAGAAGCTTTCTAACTGTTAGGGTGTTAAAACACTGGAAAAAGCTACATAAAAAGCTTTCTTCATTGGAGGTATTTTTAAGAGTAGGTTAGGCACATCTGTTGAGGATGGTTTGGTTATACCTGGTCTTGGCAGAACTAATTCAACATTACTGTTCTGTGAGTCATAAAACAGCTTTGGAGCACTGCATAACTAAATAATATTCCTTTATATTTTGTCATGACTTTACTATTTCTGCTTGTTGCGTTTCAGGTCAGCTTCTCCCAGGCATGGCTTCACCATTATGAACAGGCTGAGCATGGAAAACCGAACAGAGCCCATCACTAAAGACTTAGATTTCCAGCTCCAGGACCCTTTTCTTCTTTACAGAAATGCCAGATGTGAGTCTCTTTTGTGTATTGGGTAAAGTATTTGAGAAATCAGTTCTTTTCTTATAACATTCTTCTCTCAAGGTATTCTAGGTGTTGCAGGTACATCTGGTCTAAGGCTCTGAAGAACTGACTTGCTAAGAAATTGCAAGAGATGGACAGATCTTCATGTTTAAGATACAAAAAACTCTTTCCCTGATTTGATACGTCAAGGTGTCTCTTTTCAATACATTATTTAAATGTTAACTCCATTAATCTGTCCCTCACCTGACAAGTAATGGTCCTCCTGTGGTTGTGTAATGTTCTGTAAAAGAGATAAACATGCAAATAGTATTTATTTGGACTTGGGGTTCTTTGCTTTTCTTTTTTAATATATATTGCTCATTTTTGGAAGATCGGCATGTAGGAAAATCTACTGATGACTAAGTTGGTATATCTAATCCTAGATTTCATCATGTGTGCTGGGCAGTTTTGGAAAAAGAATGCATTCAAAGCCCTACCTCTTTGCTTTGGCTACCATTTCGTACCTTTTAACGAGCTCAGGGATTTTATTTCTTGCTTTTTGAAGGAGGAGGCCACCCATTCTTGCTTGGCTGGGTCATCTCAGGCTCTGTATCAGTGGTATAAGCCTCAGTCCTTCTTTGTCTGTTTAAATAAATCCTCTACTTTTTAACAAAAGCTGAAAAAGAGTGAGTGATAGTATTGGAAATTCCCAAAGAATCTCAACCCCACCCCCCCAGAGGACACCTCGAGGCTGACCCAAATATTGTCTTGAAGTTGTAGTAAGATTTTAGGTCTATTAAGAAAGAAATAGACCAGTTGTCCCATCTAGTATTTGTTTTTAGAAGTTCTTGCGTATATAAATAAAACATTTTTCCTTTTCTTGTATGTATTCTTACTTTGCAGAAGGAGATGTATGTATCTACTAGGGGTGCACCGATAGAGATTTTGGGGACTGATACCGATAGCTGATATTTAAGTAGACATATCGGCCGATAACGATCTGATACAGTTGCCATCAGGTGGCAGGTCTGGTGTGGTGAAAGGGAAGGGGCACAGAGGGCAGATCAGCGTTCCCGGTGGTGAGGAAGGGGGCAGGGGAAGGGGCAGGCGCTGCCCGGCCAGGTGGGGGGCGCAGGACAGAGGCATGGCTCCTGGGGTGGCTCCCGCCACTGCTTGTACCCGAGGGGGGAGGGGCATGTGCCCCTGGAGCTGCGTGGCACAGGGTGGGCTGCAGCTGTGGGGTGGAGCCACAGCTGGCACTGTGTGGCTGTTCTCACTGGGTGTTGGGCTCGGAGTGGGCTCCAGTGCCGCTGGGAGGAGGCTGCAGCCACCCCAAATTTTGCTACAGCTCTGCTCCCAGCCCCACGCCGCCACCCAGCAGAGCCCCAGCTGAAAGCCCAGCCTCCACCCAAGTGCTGGGAAAAGCCATGGCTGCACAGGGTGATGGGCAGTGGCGTGGGCCTGGGAATGCAGTTGTGAATTTTGGGGTGGCTACAGCCTCCTCCCAGCGCAGCCAGAGCTTGCTCTGAGCCCAGCGCCTGGCGAGAACAGCCACTCGGCTCTGACTCCACCTCGCAGCTGCAGCCCGCCCCACACTGCGCAGATCTGGGGGCACACACCTCCACCCCCTGCCTTCCTAGGGTGCGAGCAGTGGCAGGAGCTGCCCCCCACCCCACAAGCTGTGCCTCTGTCTCACACCCCCACCCCGGCTGGGCATTCTGCCCTTGCCCCTGCCCCCTCCCTCACCACAGGGGGCGTTGAACTGTCCTCCCCATGCCCCTTCCCTCCACCGTCCCCTTCCAACTTACCAGCTGGAAGCAGCTCTCCACACTCCCAGCCCTGCTCTGTGCTGCACTGCGGTGGTGCGCAGCCCAGGCATTTATCGGCCAAATTATCAGCCCCTTAGGGCTGATATCTGATGTAGACAATTTTCTTCATATCGATACCAATCTGATATTGGACAATGTATTGGTGAACCTCTAGTATATACTACAATTTACTTTTCTGTGTTAGATTTAAGAAATAAGAATAAAGATTTTGTCATTATGTTGACTCAGTGGTTCTCCATTTTTATTTTTATTTTTCTGAGTCAAGGCACTACTCCATAACTCTTGTGAATTGAGCGGCACCCCATTTCAAAACTAATTTATTACAGCGCTTACCCCCTTGCAGCAGGGCCACAAAATTGGGGGCTGGGTTATGGGGAGCAGTCAGGCAGGGAGAGCCTGAGCCTGCCCTTATCTGCTTATCTCCTTCCATATCTTGCAACACCCTTCAAAGGATATCATGGGGCCCCACTTGTGAATCACTGTGCTAGCCTGTGTCTGTTAACAAAAATGAGGAACCAGTCTAATAGGAAGTATGTAAAACACACTTAATGTGAAGGAAAAAGGCAGGCCACAGCACTGTGTACACAAAATAGAGATTATTGCTTATATTTTGGAAGGAGAAGTTGGTTTAATTCCTTCAAACTTAGTTGAATTTTAAATCTTTAGGATTGTACTAGCACCTTTTCTAAATCTGGCTGCTGCTCTTTGTCTGTCTTTTCTGGGCTGTAAATTACTCCTTTCTGAACAGAATTCTGTACATCTGCTTTCTAGGTGTCCCTTGTAGAAAAGGAGTTTCTCAGGCTGGGGTTGTATTGCTTAGGACTGCAGCTTTTTGTTGGAAAAATTCCTTACCAATCAATTTTAAGAAAATTAAAGGAGTATGCTGTGACTTTAGTCCTTCTGTACAACTGGAAGGGCAAAGCACTACATTCTACTAAAATTGTCCCTTAATCATCTATATTATCTACTGGGGAGTGCAAGAAAGTGGGACATAGAAGCAGAAACTTACCAGGCCCTTCAGTAGTTAGAAAGAACCTGTATCTCCCAGCAGGCTATAAGTCAAGCAGACTAGACTGGGATGAACTGGCTGAGTCACAGTCAATTGCCTAGGGATCTGCAACATTTATGAAGTATGTTATTAAAGCTACTTATTTATATTATGATGATACAGCAGTAACACATAGTGACCCCAATTAAATTGCAGCTCTATTTTGCTTGTAGATGCTCAGATCTGTAATAGGGCACAAATAACTTGCAAATCTGAGTTTTTACGAACAGAGGAAACAAGTGTGTATACCACAAATCAAGGGGATGTTTTTATGCAATATAATTGTGCCCATACTTTGGAAATACCTGGTAACTCTTTCTTTCTAATGGGCCTCATTGCTACTAAATGCAGTACAGTCGTTACCATTTCCTTGCAAATCAGCATCTCTGAACCTGTAAGCCAGTGCCCTTTTGCACTTCGGCTTAGTTTGTGCCTTCCATCTTCCCTTTGGTAATGGTGTGAGTGCAAGCATAGTGATTCTTAGCCAGTGTAACTTGTCAGCCTTCCATTCCGGTATGCATCTCTCTTGCTGGGACCAACTGCTCCACCAGAACTGTATAACTACCTGGTTCCACCTGACTTACGTGGTTCACTCTGTAAAAGAAGGGCTCCCAGGCTTGCTATCATATTAATCCAGAAGTGGTCTTTTTTCAGGACTTTGTGTCAAGATAGTTGATTTAGCTCTAGTTCAGTGATTCTCAAACAGGCTGCCATGAGATCTTTTGAAGGGCGCCATGCAATATTAGCACGGTTAGGTGTGAAAACACATACACATGATTTCCCAGATAAACCAAAAGATTTCAAATAGGAATGCTTAGTGTTAAAAAACATTCTGACCTGTTGTAGACTTTGAGTTCTTTGAACAAAAGAATCGCTCTTTTATTTTTCCACCGTCAAAAAACAAATGAAAACTAACAGCTGGCATCTTTCGAGGGGTGCCCTTGAATCTAATGAAGCTGAGAACCACTGCCCTAGCTGTGCTGGTTCTGTTGCTATTGATTTTTTTTTTTTTGATTTTTTTCCCTGCTAAATATCCTAGTACAGTTTGAGTACCAGCTATCTAAGTGTAAGCTATTTGTGCTTCAGGGAGGCAAAATCATCCCCCTGTTGGATTTCCCTGGATATAGTGACATTCCTTAAGGCAGCAGATAAAGTCTCCCGTGATTTGCACTCCTTAGCTTCTGGGACCTAAAGCTAATTGTGAGTGTCACCTGAATGCTCCCCTCCTTTTCTCCCCTCCCATCTCTGCAACATCAAGTCGCAGGCTGGTATCCAAATGACTTCTCACCTTTAAGGACCATCTTCTAGTGTCTGTGGGTGTTTTTATATGTGCTCTGGGGGTGGAAGGAGCTTTAATCAGAATGGCTCCAAGAGCCACTCTAATTAAAACATCCGTAATGTCTTATGTATTCAGGGTCCTGCACTATGAAATGGCTGCGAGGGCACTTTAACTGAAGCTTATTCAACACACTTTAGTTAAAGTGCCCCTGTTGCCATTTTGAAGCACAGGGACACTGAATTCCTGGGACGTGGAGGCTGCTGCAGCACGTTGATTAGCATGCTCCAGCAGACTTGGTTAATCAACATATGCTCTGATGCAGTGTAATTACAGCGCATCAGAGCAGTGTCCCCGCACATGTACAGGCACCCTGTTTGATTAGTTAGCAGTGTTCTGGAATTTTGTATAGGAACCCTTACTTACTATATTTACTCAAATGCAGGATGTGGGTTTTTTTTCCCCCAGTTGGCACTTGGAAAAAGCCCCTAGTCTTTATAATTGCTTACAAGGAAACCTCATTAAATATACTGTCTATCATTAAACTGCTGCCAGAAGCAGCATTTGTCTCAGCAATGGTACGGATGATTTTGACTTAAATGCAGCCAGGACTGAGCAGGACTATAAAACATGTGGCCTACGAGGCAAACATGCTGATGAGAAGAATAGGTTAGAGCAAACCATCTGAAAAAGGATATATAGTAGTGACCATTGAGCTCATTCTTTGGCTTTTAACTAATATCATGAAGGTACCAAAATGCTGCCTAAAAGTGTGTTTATAGAGTACCTGCGATAAAACTTGCAGCAGTTTCAAAAGGTAACATGCATCAATTCTGGATGAACTAAGTCTGTGGAT